GTTTGGGGGGTATAACACCAGGCACATCTCCTGAAGCGCACATCAACCAAATAACTGCTGCAGCACATGGGCGCCTAGCAAACCTCAGAACAGCATTCCGACATCTTAATAAGGAATTGTTCAGGACCCTGTACACCGTGTATGTTAGGCCCATATTGGAGTATGCGGCACCAGTTTGGAACCCACACCTAGCCAAGCACGTAAAGAAACTAGAGAAAGTGCAAAGGTTTGCAACAAGACTAGTCCCAGAGCTAAGGGGTATGTCCTGCTAGGAGAGGTTAAGGGAAATCTACCTGATGACACTGGAGGACAGGAGAGAGATTGGGGACATGATAGCGACATACAAAATACTGAGAGGAATTGACAAGGTGGACAAAGACAGGATGCTCCAGAGATGGGACAGTTGGAAGTTGAAGACACAGATGAATCACAGGGATGTTAGGAAGTATTTCTTCAGCCATAGAGTAGTCAGGAAGTGGAATAGTTTGGGTAGCGATGTAGTGGAGGCAGGATCCATACATAGCTTTAAGCAAAGGTATGATAAAGCTCACGGTTCAGGGAGAGTGACCTAGTAGCGACCAGTTAAGAGGCAGGGCCAGGAGCTAGGACTCGACCCCTGCAACCACAACTAGGTGAGTACACTCTCTCTCTCTCTCTCTCTCTCACTTTTTCTTTCTCTTTTTCTCTCTTTCTCTCTCTTTTTTTTTTTTTTTATACACAGGGTTTGACAAGGTTAAGGATCCCTAGCCATATTGACAAGCTATTTACAGGTTAAGGATTCCTAACTTTATTGGCAAGCTAAGAGCTGTTACCTACATCAGCTCATTTGAAAGCATTTTTATTGTTATGAGACATACAAGTAGGGAACAGGATGAAGTTGGAGCCATCTGTGGGCCAGCATTTTCATTTAATCAACTGATTTTATCTCGTTGACATTATGCTGTACTAATGTGTTCCATACTCGAGTCATCCTGGGTATATATGATCTTAGATGGAGTGATGTTCTGGAGAAGGGTACAGCCAGAGTGAGGTTGCTGCTTTCTGCCCGTCTTGTGGCATAAAAGCTTGTTTCATGCTGTCCTCGAAGTGGATCCAAGTGTGGTACTTTGACAATATTGGCCTTGTACATAACAGTAAGGCCACTCACATCCCTCCTGTGTTGAAGGCTCTGCTGAAATGACAGATCTATCCAGGATGGGTCCAGGCGAGAGATGAGATGTCTTGCTCTGTTCTCTACTCTGTCAAGCAGTCACAGATGAGAGGGGGCAGGCAAACCAAGAAAGTGGAGCATACTCAAGGTGTGAGCGTACTTGTGCCTCGTACAGAATCTTGCAGCCCCTACTGTCGAGCAGATGCGAGGTACGGCGAAGTGCTGTAAGCTTCCTGACTGCCTTGTTTGCAAGATTTACAACATGGTTCTTCATGGTTAGTTTGGAGTCAAATTTCACCCCAAGAATATCAACTTCTTCTCCAGGTGCCAACACCCTCCCATTCATCCTTATTACTGCACCAGCATTAAACCATCAGGGTGCCTAGAGACGTCATCTTTTGCTTTTTCTCAGGTGAAAATGTTACTTGCCATCTATTTCCCCAAGCTGATATAGCTCTCAGCTGTGATTGATGTAGCTTAGAGCAGCTGGCATTTCTTCTCTTGGATAAGTGAATGTCAGTGTACAGTTGTCTGCATATGATGTGATTCTGGGATGAGATGAAGAAGCGTTGAAGTAGACATTCCTAACAATGGTCCCAGCACGATTCCTTGTGAACACTTGCCCCAATAGGATGTCTTGCTGATTCCGTTCCATTGAGAACTACACTTAGAGATCTACCATGAAGGTAATCACTGAGGAGAGGGTAGTGTAGAGTCTGCAATTCCCAGTGTTTGAAGTTTTGCTAAGAGGCCCTGGTGCCACCCCCGGTCGAAAGCACCAGCAATGTCCAGTGCTACCAACAGCTGAACTTTGGATTCATCCAGTACTGGTGCCAAATATGGAGGGGTTTTAACAACAGATCAGCAGCAGAGTAACCTTTCCTGAAGCCATTTTGATGATCACAAAGTAGTGAGTGGTAGTCAAAAAACTCCATCATTTGTTTTGAGATTATTGTCTCAAGGATCTTACCAGTGATTGACAGGAGTGACACTGGTCTGTAGTTGCTGATTTCTGCTCTGCTTTTTCTTTTTGTGAAAAGGGACTACATTTGCCTCTTTCCATAGAGAGGGCCATTTACACTGTACAAGGCATGCTGAAAGATGCGAGTCAGAGGTTGCTGCCCAGCTGGTCTGCACATCTTCTCAGAAAAACTTGGGCTCAACTGTCTGGGTCCCCCAAGCCTTTTCTTGGTCAAGGGAAATTTTAAGAAGGAAATGCACCCCCTCCTGCCTTATTGTCACCACTGACAGTTTTGACACAGTTCTTGCAGCTAGCCAAGGAGGGTCCCTTGCTGGATCAGGAACTTGCATTTTGGTAGCAAAGTGTTCAGCAAAGAGGTCCGCCTTCTCTTGACTACTAGTAGAGGTGGTCCCATCCTGTTGATTTAGAGGTGGAATGAGTTCATCAGGCAGATAACCTTGTCTGTCCTTGACCAGGGACCACCAGGTTTTGGAGCCTACCCTACCTGATGCTAGCTTTCTTTTAGTGTCCACCTCTCATTTAGCAATGGCCCACTTCTGAACATCACCCATATGCCTACAGGCTTGCGTGTGCAAATTCCTGTTATAGGTGGTAGGATGTCTCTTATACCTTTGCCATGCTTTGTAATTAGCAGTAGCAGCCTCTCTACAACGAAAGCCAAACCATGGCTGATCTGTAGGCTTCGTCACATATTGCCGGTGAGGAATGTGTTCTTGTTGTAGATTAAGGATGTGTCCAGTGAAGGCTTTCACTTGGTTGTCAACATCCTCTTGGAGAAGAGCATTTCAATCGGTGGTGGCGAGCTCAGAGCAAAGGGCTGGCCAATTACCTCTTTCCCATAGCCAGGTTGTGCGTGTGGACTCCTCACCTCATTCTTTTGGGATCTTTTGGCATTTCTTCTCTTGGATAAGTGAATGTCAGTGTGCAGTCGTCTGCATATGCATGTGATTCTGGGATGAGATGAAGAAGGTCGTTGAAGTAGACATTTCATAACAATGGTCCCAGCATGCTTCCTTGTGGAACATTTGCCTCTCTCTCTTTGTCTCTCTCTCTCTGTCTGTCTGTCTCACTGTCTCTCTCTCTGTCTCTGTCTCTCTGTCTCTGTCTCTGTCTCTGTCTCTGTCTCTGTCTCTCTCTCTCTCTCTCTCTCTCTCTCTCTCTCCTCTCTCCTCTCTCTCGTCTTCCTCTCTCTCTCTCTGTCTCTCTGTCTCTCTGTCTCTTCGTCTCTCTCTCTCTGTCTCTCTCTCTGTCTCTGTCTCTCTCTCGTGTCTCCTTCTCTCTCTCTGTCTCTCTCACTGTCTCTCTCACTCTGTTCTCTCACTCTGTTCTCTCTCTCTCTCATCTGTCTCTCTCACTCTGTCTCTTCACTGTCTCTGTCTCTCTCTCTCTGTCTCTGTCTCTCTCTCTCTGTCTCTCTCTCTGTCTCTGTCTCTGTCTCTCTCTCTCTGTCTCTGTCTCTGTCTCTCTCTCTCTCTCTGTCTCTCTCTCTCTCTCTCTGTCTCTCTCTCTCTGTCTCTGTCTCTGTCTCTCTGTCTCTGTCTCTCTGTCTCTCTCTCTCACTCTGTCTCTGTCTCTCTCTCTCACTCTGTCTCTGTCTCTCTCTCTCACTCTGTCTCTGTCTCTCTGTCTGTCTCTCTCACTCTGTCTCTGTCTCTCTGTCTGTCTCTCTGTCTCTGTCTCTGTCTCTCTCTCTCTCTCTGTCTCTCTCTCTGTCTCTGTCTCTCTGTCTCTGTCTCTCTCTCTGTCTCTCTCTCTCTGTCTCTCTCTCTCTGTCTCTCTCTCTCTGTCTCTGTTCTCTCTGTCTCTCTCTCTGTCTCTCTCTCTGTCTCTCTCTCTGTCTCTCTCTTCTCTCTCTCTCTCTCTCTCTTCTCTCTCTCTCTCTCCTCTCTCTCCTCTCTCTCTCTGACCTCTCTCTCTCTCCTCCTCCTCTCCTCTCTCTATCTCTCTCTCTCTCTCTCTCTCTCTCTCTCTCTCTCTCTCCTCCCCCTCTCTCTCTCATCCCTCTCTCTCTCCCTCTCATCTCCCTCTCTCCCTCTCTCTCCCCTCTCTCTCTCCCTCTCCCTCCCCCTCCCCCTCCCTCCCTCCCTCCCTCCCCTCTCTACCTCTAGCTGAGAAGCCTCAATTCAACACTTATGGTAACTGGCAGCAATGATGGAGAGTCTGTTTCTTTGACTGCTGGAATTTGTGTGTGAATGTTGGTGGAAGTGTGTTTCTTTTTTGAGTCACCCTGCCTCAGTGGGAGACGGCCCATGTTGAAAAAAAAAAAACTTGAAAGGCAAGGAATTTATCTGTGGTGCAAGCATGTGTTGAAAATTTTACTGAGTTTCCTTAAACTTTTCATTGGTTGACAGTAAGAGGAACATTAATGCTTATGTTGGTCTTCAGTGCAAATCACCAGGGTTTACTCCATCTCCTCATATTTGGACTTCCTCACTATTCTCAGGTCAGATCTGTAAGCTCTCTCTCAATACTCTTAGCTTGGCTTAATCTCTCTTTCAAGACCATGGAGGGCTTTAATTTAAAACATATTTTTAAATGTTGCTTTAACAGTGGTCTTACCATCACATAGATGGTCAAGAGCTGGCATCTCATCAATTTTGTTAATTTTATCTTATCACAAGCTATACTGGTGTGTTTTACTCATCTGGGTAGCATTTTAGAAATTGGGTAGGACTTCAAATTTGTGAGGATGCATGAAACTTGTGTAATGAATATTTTCTGTAATTAGAAACATAGACCGATGAATTAGGCTTCTCCATGCACTGAGAGCTGATAAGTGACTGGTTTTCTATGACAAAGTTGGCCACATTTAGCTTGTTTTTAATGGATCTTTCATGTATGGGTTTTGAGAGCAACTATTCATTTGAAAATACGTATTACTTGTGAAACAGAAATTGTTTTGTTGAAATTTCATTAAACATTAATAGTAATTTCATTACATTAATAAGACAGTTCATAAGCTACTCCACTGCCATACGTATTTGCCATTTAAGATTCAGAAAATGCTGTATTGTATAAACTCTGCTTATCAAGCCTGAAAACCGTATGTTTACTCACATTTGGTTGGTTGATTTAAGACCTTTCAACTGCATGAGGCTACTAAGGCTGCATTTTACCTGTGCATCATCAATCAAGAATATGCTAATTCCCAAAATAGGTATTAAAGTCTACTCTTAATGTATATACAGTACACTAGGTTATATACACCTCTCGGTGTATGTATAACCTTGGTGTCAACATTAACCTAGTGTACCAGTCACCAGTACTATTAACCACTTTTTTCCTGAGCTTACTATGTGACCATTCTTACATAAAAGCTGTTGGAGTTTCCATTCTCTCACCTTAATTTAGTCATGTTCTGCTTGTAGTAAATATTATGGGTGCTTATTTCTGGTTAGTATGTAAAAACATTGAGAAAAGCATTTGTGAAAGTGGCTGGATAAGTGGTGACAATTCTTACAGATGAAAAAAATAAATTTAGTGGTGTGTTTTTAATTTGAATATTTACTTTGTTGTTTGTGATGTACATTGAGAATGCATTGACGTATTATCTAGTGAAACTCGATGGACCTGTTCTCTATCGTTTATTTAAAAACTAAGTAGGGATTATGAGTAGAAAGATTAAAGCGTATATTTTAGACATGGTTTTTGTTTTATGCAGACATTTAAACTCTGGTCATGTGAGCTATAAAGCAAGATGTAATTTTAGTATAATTTTCAAATCTTAAATTTTTTAAGAAGTTGCTCTGTCTCTTAAAAATTTAACATTTTTCTCTTGAGAAATTGGTTAACCCCCACAAGCATCTTAATTTTTTGAGAGATGTATAATGCTGAGATTTGATCTCAATATGTTTCTGGAGAGACAGTAATTGAATGAATGACAAAGAAAGTGTTTCTTCTTTTTTGGGTCACGCTACCTCGATGGGAGACAGTGTGTTAAAAAAAATTGCTATATAGTTGTAATGAGGAGAGGAGGGGACTATTTTCCAGTCGAAGTAAGCCTTAGATAGGAACGTGTGATGTCACTATAGTTGTGTAATATACTAACTCATGAAATCGTAATGACACGATTGCAAACAAACCATGGTATCCCCGCCCATACTGTGGTTTGTTGAATATATTTATAGTGGAAGCCATGGTATCAGTGCTGCAATCCGCAAGGTCATTTGAATTGTGATGTCTACTTGCTTCTGAAAAGAATGAATGATGGTGAATGCATTTTTTTGGGGGGAGGAGGAGGAGGGTCAGCTTGAATTGGTAGGAGATTGCCAATATGGTTAAAATGAAAAAATAATGAAAACACACTTTGGGTCTATAATATAAATACAGTATAATTTAAGTGTTTGATGCAGATCACTTTTGGTCGATTTGTTGACTTACTGAATAGTTGTCAGTCACTGATCAGTATTTGCTTTTGGCTATGCAAAATTTGTTTATTTTAAGACTAATTATAATTTTTCTTTAAATTTAAATTTTTCTTCTGGAAGGTGTATTAATTTTTTTCTCTTGTTTTCAGTCTTATTGAAATTAATTAAAATATTTATAGTAAGTCTAATTTGCTTTTACTGTTGGGTGGATAAATTGCTTTTTGTCTTCAGAATAATTTGGGAATAAAATGTAATTAAATAATAACCTATACCTCTAATCAGTTGAATTATATTAATGCTCTTATCTAATTTTTCACTCCTTTATTTATTTTTGTTTGTAGAATCGGATGCCCATCATTGTATTCTTATGATTTCAGCTAAGACTGTCACTCTCTGTCCCAACTTATTTGGCCATTAATAATGAACCTGCAGCATGGATGTTCCAAAGCAATGTGTATCGAGGGGTGAGTTGTGTCGAGTTAATCATACTGCTGCAGCTAGCATTGTATGCCTTTCCCTTTGCAGCTATGGATGCAAAGCGCTCAGTGATAAAATATAGTGAGATGAATCTTAAGGATTGCTCTGGTATTTATTTATAAATCAACATGTAAATACATTCTCCTGTGCGATGCCGCAGTGCAACTTTGAGTAACAGGAACTTCCTGTGTTGAGGATTTAAAAAGAAATTATTTCTGAACTCTCATATTTCTTTGTTTCTTTCACTCGGCCTACCTGAAGGAGCATTATCACTATTATTACTACTAGTTGAAGGAAGTATTGTGTTGGAAATTGACTCTCGTGCTGACTGGCAGTCATACAACAAAAATTTACTGCTAACTCCTGCTAACACTGAAGTTTCAAGTTATAATATTACTTTAATCCTTGCATGCTTGTTGAAGAGAATGTTATATTATCAGTAATATACAAGGATGTAGTGCAAATATAAAACATGTCTGTTAATTCCTCATAGGGTGTAGGATAGAGAAATAGTGTTGTCCGTACTAGTAAATGTGCTAGATCAGGGGTGGTGAACTTGTGGTACATCAAAATATTCGTTGGCATGCAGTATGCACTGCTGCCTCAAGATTTTTTATTGTTTCCATTCTGACCATTTTACCAGTCGTGTCTCAGCAAAATATAAAGCTATATCTGGGAAAGTAGTAGTCAGCCCTAATAGGTTAGTAACTGGAAAATGGGGTTATGAAACTCAGCAATTCCACTCCTTAAACTTGTGACTGTTTGAAAAATTTAGCAATGGCAGTATTAGTAGTATATTCATCTACATATTCATGCGAGTCATAGGTTTTCAGTGATGCACCTAGTCAAGTCTAATTAATAGGAGTAGACTTACTGATGAAACTAGTGTTGCATACATAGTCACAAAACAGTCAAATACAAGCCTGATATAAAGTATCTGCTATTGTTGGTGCAGCAGCAAAAGTTTTGTGTAAATAAAATATTTTCTGCTTCTTAATTTTTTTTTATGTTTTATAATACGAACCAAAGCCTATTCCACTGCCATATTTCGTGTGCTGCTTATAAGATTCAGTATTATTTATGAAAGAGGTCATTTTGTCAGTTGTCTTTTAAAAAAAATTGATATTAATTTTTTGAATAGTCTTTCTAAAATGTTTTTATTTTAATATCTCTGTTGTACTTCTGTTAATAATGAAACAGTGAATTCCCCTAAGCAGTTGGACTCCTTATATTTTTCTGAAAGAAACACCCATTATTGTCAATACTTCATTAATTTTACCTCTTGTGAATTACTAATTATAAGTAATATGTACTTCATAATTATAAGTAACATGTACTTGAAAAAAGTTATTGATTGCCTAAACAAACTTCTAGAATGCTTAAAAGTATATTTTGTTCTTTCTCCGTAATTTTTTTTGTAAAATATCAGTACAGCCTCTCCTCACATAGCGACGTACTCATTTACTGATGCCTCGGACATACAACGGGCTCTCTGACCAGTATTTATACCTAAATAATGTATATTAGAGCTGATTTCCTCTATTTTGTTTATTTCAGTATACAGTACACTACTGTATAAACATTTAAAAATATACCAGAAATGTTATAAATGGTGCAAAGGTGACATTAAAACAATATCAAAGATGGTTGACACAAACTCACTACCATTATAGTATGCTTCGTGTCGTTTAACGATGTGGTCTTAGGAACAGAACTCCGTCATTGAGCGAGGAGAGGTTGCATACTAATACTACTAGTACTGCTAGTACTACTACTACTAGTACTACTACTACTACTACTACTACTAAGATAAGATAAGATTTCGTTCGGATTTTTAACCCCGAAGGGTTAGCCACCAAGGATAACCCAAGAAAGTCAGTGCATCATCGAGGACTGTCTAACTTATTTCCATTGGGGTCCTCAATCTTGTCCCCCAGGATGCGACCCACACCAGTCGACTAACACCCAGGTACCTATTTGCTGCTAGGTGAACAGGACAACAGGTGTAAGGAAACATGTCGAAATGTTTCCACCCGCCAGGAATCGAACCCGGGCCCTCCGTGTGTGAAGCGGGAGCTTTAGCCACCAGGCCACTACACTACTATACTACTATTACTATACTACTACTATTACTATACTACTACTATTACTATACTACTACTATTACTATACTACTACTATTACTATACTACTATTACTATACTACTACTATACTACTATTACTATACTACTACTATTACTATACTACTACTATTACTATACTACTACTATTACTATACTACTACTATTACTATACTACTACTATTATTATACTACTACTATTACTATACTATTACTATACTATTACTATACTACTACTACTACTATACTACTACTACTACTATACTACTACTACTATACTACTACTATACTAATACTACTATACTAATACTACTACTATACTAATACTACTACTACACTACTATACTAATACTACTATACTAATACTACTACTACTACTACTATACTACTACTAATACTACTACTACTATACTACTACTACTATACTACTACTACTATACTACTACTATACTACTACTAAACTACTACTAAACTACTACTATACTACTACTATACTACTACTATACTACTACTACTACTACTATACTACTACTACTATACTACTAACTACTATACTACTACTACTACTATACTACTACTATACTACTACTATACTACTACTATACTACTACTATACTACTACTACTACTATACTACTACTATACTATACTACTACTATACTACTACTACTACTATACTGCTACTATCTACTACTACTATACTACTACTACTATACTACTACTACTATACTACTACTATATACTACTGTACTACTATACTACTACTGTACTACTATACTACTACTGTACTATACTATACTACTACTATACTACTACTACTACTATACTACTATACTACTACTACTATACTACTACTACTATACTACTACTACTATACTACTACTACTACTATACTACTATACTACTACTATACTACTACTGTACTACTATACTACTGTACTACTATACTACTACAGGAGGGCCCCATTGGTATGGCTCTTATATTTGTGGTCCCATAAAGTAAGTAAATATCGCTGGTGTCTAAAATGCCTGATAACTTGTTTAGTGGTCATTACAGCTAGGCTAAAAAAAAAAAAAGTACAAGAAATTCAAAGTACAAAAAATATTCACCTTATAATGTGATGTCGGTCACTCTTCCCTTAAGTAACTTTTCTACAAAAATGGCAGAAAAGTGGTAAAAGCACATAACATAATGAACAATGACTCAGTTGAAAACCAACGAAAATGTGGAACACCAAAAAAAGTGTATATGCGGGGCTCTCCTGTAGTATAATAATAAAATACTACACTCAAAATTTACAATGGCACATGAGAGAATTTTTCAAAAAGTTATCACTAGTTTGGGTACACACTCAAAAAGCTTCACCACCCCTGTACTAGATCATGAAAGTCTTGCATAGTTTTTGGAATCAGTAATATAGTATACCCGTATATGAATGGGATGATACCAGAATTTTTGCCAACAGTGATTGAGTACAATCACTGTTGGCAAAAATTTTAGGCTGAGACCAATACTTCGGTGCACCCCTAGCAAATACATGCGGTATACTTTGATTCCTCTGATTATATTTACAAGGCATTAGTTGACCATTAAATTTTTATTTTTTTTTTTTTTGCCTCCATAAAAAGAATAGACCTTATGAAATCTCTGAAAAGTATCCTAAAGTCAGATCAGAGACCCTTATTGTGAAGGAGGTTGTTTTTAATTTATACTGGAAGCTGAGAAGAAGTTTTTGCTTTACATTGTAAAAGTATATGTGAATGCATTTGCTGAGATAATTTTAAATTAAACTTTAGCATTATGCCCAATATCAGCAATAAATCCTTTTATCATAATATGTATGTGCTTTTATGCTTTGAGGCCATATGTTCTACTGGATTGCATAGACTAAACAAAAATTTTTTATGGAATCTAGTCAAAAATATAGCAGATAAGAATTTTAATATCTTTTTCCTTTGGGAATTTTAAAATGGTAACTTCTTTTGATAACTGGCTATTTTTTGTTTGTAAGAGCATAGTTTAATATTTGAACATAATTCTAAGGTATAAGACAAAAATTAAAGTAGTCCTATTAGCAGATGAATTTTTAAAATATTATCCTTGGAAATGATTAAGATCGTAACTTTCATATTGATAACTGGCCATTTTTGTTTTGTAAGTATGCATAGTTTAATATTTGAAACAATTCTAAAGGTTAAAGACAAAATTAAAGTAGTCTATAGCCGATTGATCCGCACGAGTATAGAGAATATTACCTTTGGTTTTCTATCGTTTACTCTCTTGCTGTTTCTAATCTTTTATGCATTCTTCAGTCAAACTTTTGTTCTATATCCTTTGATAAGCCATTTCTTATTATTTTTTTATTTTCTTTTATCATTTTTTCTCCTGTAGCTCACAAAGACGTACTTTACAGTGACCCTTGAATAATCATGCTGAACCGTGCAGGTCCACTTAAACTCGGATTTTTTCAATAAATACATGCAGTTGGAACCTTGAGTTTTGGCTGCCCCAAGTATTGGCCGGTTTTTGAGTATTGTCACTTTCTTTTTCGCTCTAAGATTTAGTCTTGAGTTTTTGAACAGTACCTAAGTATCAACTGCCGTACAGACCTGTCCACCTGCCCGTGCCTAGCCTGCTCTACACAAAGCATCCTCGCATGCGTTGTGAGTCTGCTGTGTACTTCTCAAGTGAACATTACCACTGCGCTCACCCATACATTTCACAACTAATCCATTGGTTTTTTTTGTGCTTTGTTGATGAGTGCGACTGCTCTACATAATAACCATGGGGTTGGTGGTGAGTGGCCAGGAGTTGGAAGAGTTTGGTGGAGGACATGGAAAGAGTCTAACCACTGAAGAGCTGCAAG